CTGACCCTCTTTCTTCTCGCTCGACTCCGCGCTGAATCCTTCGCAGCTTCCGCACACAATGTGTTTTCCGGCTGAACCTGAAGCTCCTGCGTCCCGTCTCACAATACGTCTCACAGGCGGCTGGAAAACAATTAAATGAGTGTGGTATGAATACAAAAAAAATCAAACGCAAGTCACAGTAACATTTAACAAGGAAGGAGAAACAGTGTCACTTACACACAATGACGTCGTCTAAATCTGGACTTTTCCCGGAGCAAATACGAGGTCACCGCCTCACTATGAGGAGAGATTAGTCTGTGAAAACAAAATGTAGTTATGATCGGTATCCATACGTATATATTCCCTTATAGCGCAGAATGAAAGCATATTCTGTAAATCTGACCCTTGCTCCGGTTCGTGGCGCCTGTAATTCGTCTCGGCGTTGTGAAGACGGCGCATCGCTTCCTGTAAACGACACGGCAAAGAAAACACACTTTAATAAAGCTGTTTCTGCTCACTTGTAAGGCTACTAGGCTACTCTTAGCTTAGCTTGAGGCTACGCTACTCTTAGCTTAGCTTGCAGTCATCGAACGTATTCTTACCGCTATCGTGGGATCGTGCGCCCGTCTCCTCTTCTCTGAGTTGGTTCCTCTCCTCCATGGACAGAAACCCGCAGAGTCCCGAACGCTCCAGTGGAGCGAACCGCTCGTTGATATCGGCAGTTTGTTGTTGGAGTTGACGAGACGATCCACTGAGATCATTCAGCAGCTTCTTCTCGTCTGTCTGCGGACTGGCCGAAAGTTGGTGACCGCGGAGAGGAGTTGAAGGCGAGTTGAACGCGAGACGTCGTCCCGCCATTATTCACGAAGCAGCAAAAACCAAACAAAGGAACTGGAGATACAGTTCTTCTGAATATAGTAACACACGTGTCTGTTTGTATGCTCGTCTTGCATGTACTGCTGTATCAGTCATGCCTATGACCTCACACGTGATTGGACGAGGAGTCTAAGGGTCCTCCAATCACATACGAGGTTATTGTTATACGGAAGGACCAGTATTTTAGGAAGACAAATGGTTGGGACTTTGAAACAGCTGATATGCTTTATGTAAAGCCGTGTTTTGGTGTCAGCGGAACGACTTTCCCTAGAAACTGTACAGTGGTGCCTCTTTCTCCATTCCACCAGACACTCTTGAGTCTGACAGACATGCAATGTTGACAATGTATCATCAGATGTACCCTTGTGTCACTGAGGTTGAATGTTTTGCCATGACATGTAAACGGGTAACATATATGAATGTAACTTACTCAATCGATAGATGCAGAGCAGAAAGGTCAGCGTATATTTATGCTGTGGTGTGGAAACACTAACAGTTTTGAGGAACCCGTCCTTGACCCTCTAGCAGAACTACGACCAGCCATTATAAAGCAGTTTATAGTTGTTAATGTTGTGTCAAAGGGTACGGCATTTAAACATGTTCTTGCACAAGTTTCCTGGCTTCATCTCCACCCGGACAAACATTTTTATGGAAAGCCAATAGAAGTTTGGGGCTTGCAGGGAACAGACACGTCATACAGCATCATTTTATGCCAGTTGAGCGCATTGCTAGAAGATGTGTGGTTAATACATCCTCTGTGCATTTAAGTAAGACCAAAGAGAAGGTCACTGTAGTCCTGCCACTATGCACTGTAGTTGAGCTCTAGGAGACTGATCTCTGCAGACCCCTCATGCTGATTCAAATGTTGTTTACATGGAATGCTCATTTTACCTTGATTAAAACTCATTTTTTAAAGAAGTTATTTTGTGTATCTTTTTTACATAACATTTGCCATTGCTAATGGCGTACACAGTAATCTAGCATATTTGAATTAAATAAATCAATTCAAGCCAAAATGTAAGAGTCTATAATAAGGCTACTGAGCCTGATCTATTTGTACCAGAGATTTTCTTACCTTTTAAAAAATGTCACCTGGGCTAAAACTCCCTCTGCGACCCTGATTTGCATTTGTATAGCTCACAGCATTTTCATTTACATGTCAAAGCCTCCCCTAGAATTAGGAGGAGGGGGGTCATGGGGGGACAACTGCCAAGGGAGGCCCACATCAATTTCTGACAATTTACGGCAGTTTTCGGCGTTGCCCGCAAATTGCCATGAACAGCCGCAAACCTGAAATTCCACGACAATTTACAGTGCCGCATACTGACGAAATTCCCACTTTTCATGCAGTGAACAATGTCGTATGATACCTGAACCATCTCTGAGCAGAGAGGTGAGAAATCTTCTCTGCATGTAAGATATGGGAGACAGCATGTGGGACCATAAATGTGACATCACAGAATCCCACGATGTCACATGATGCTAAAATGTCTCTCTCGGCTGCTGCCACTGCTCACAAACAGAGAGGAGGACCCGAAGCAACAGGGTCAAGTGTTGAGGAGAAGTTGGCAACAGGCCTAAGTTTCCCTCCATGAAGATGACACAAAACTGATGTCATTTAACAGTCCTTCTGGTCTACGAACTGAGTCTACGGTAAGTCGAGTCTCAGCAGGCCCAGAGTCAGGGCCTGTGATAAGGAAGTCTTTAAGTCCTGAAAAGCCTTTTCAGCTTCAGTAGTCCAAGTCAGTTTGTCATACGCGCTGAGGCCTTTACCGTGGACCATGAACGAGAGAGGTGCCTCTCTTTCTGAATAATTAGGGATCCACTGTGTGAAATCATCCCTAAATAACTCATCGTTCTTTTTTTGTAATCGGTTTTGGTACCAATTGAATTGCCCCAATACGTTTGGGAGAGAGGGATTTGCCCTCAGCTGTGATCACATGTCCCAGATAAGTCACTTGTTCTAGAGCAAATTTAAGTTTTTCGTAGGCAAGCCTTATTTCCGTTCTCTGCCAAATCTTTAAGTAGCGAAATTGTGTCAATTTTACAAGCCTCCTTTGATGGGCTGCAAATCATCATATCAGCCACATAATTTAGATGGGCCGACCCTGCAGGGAGTTATAAATTATGTAGATGTTCCTAAGCGCTTCTGTGGAATACACCTGACTTCTGTGGTAACCCACTGGACATCCTATCCATTTATAGCCGCACCCAATATAGAAAAAAACAAACCAGCTTATGTCTTCTTGTTTGGGAGGCTATACAAGTCTGCGTGTTGTGTGCATTCCTCAACGAGCTCTACTGTTCTGTGTACACTTACTCGTGTGATCAACGTAGTGCGATCTACATTACCACTAGCGCTATACTCTTCATGAGGATCCTCTGCACCCGGTCTGAACTTTAGGCCGAGACACACCCATGCAACCATGGACCAAGATCCTGTATCCCAGTGAGATGGTTTAGCCAATGAAATGTGGAGTAGAATCGAGGAACACCTTTTTTCCCTTTGGGAAGGAGAGAGAGATACAGACACCGCAGCAGCCTCCTCTGACCAATACACATACTTCAACCATAATCTCTCTTTCTCCAACTTTTGGTCATGCTGTACCTCCACATACCTTCTATCTCGCCCTGTGCTTACATGGGATGTGCAATGTAATGACTGTTCATGCATGTAATCTTCCAGTGACACAGATGTCAGTGACACAGATGTCAGTGACATGATTGCAGCAACAAGACTCAGCGGAGCCTCGTGCCGCCCTGAGCAGTACCGTTCACAGATGTTACTCATAATTCTCCTTCTTTGTCTTCATTACCATTCATCTCCCGATGGAGAACGGCCTCGTTCTCGTAATTTACTCCTCCCTGAATCTGTTCACGTCAGGAGATTGTTCATAAACAGCTGTGATTTGCTCCCAAATTCCTCCTTGTGTGTGTGTGCGTTCCTCCCGCCTCTGACTCTCACAGCAGCGTCTTTATAAGGAATCGTTGAGCTGCAGGACGTTGATGACAATGATTATCGTTACCGCCGCATTACAGCCAGAGCAAAGCGATCAGCCCGGTAAACGCTGCGCTTTTCAGGCTGCTCACTAGTCAAACTTGCGGTGTGAACAATCTCCATGCCAACAGAGTAATTACTGCTTCAGCTGCATCTCGTCTGCCGCGTTTCTTCTGAATGGTTATTTAAGTTTTGAGGCGGACGTCGCCGGTGGTCTTTTCCCAGTAATGGAACCTTATTTGAGGTTGGTTCGTTTCACGTCTCTTTGCAGCCATTAATATTCAGAGGAGGGATCTGAGGGCGCTCGCTTCAAAGGCTCCGACGGGGTTTGGTTCAGGTATGATGAAAGGTTGCATTCAGCGCCGCCCCCGCGTGGGCCCCCACAGTCGGTCCAAGGCTTTGTAAGCGCTCCGCTCGTTTACGCCAGTCGGCACCGCGTGTTCCCTCTTTGGTTTGCCTACGTGTCCTTTCTCGGTTGTTCATTGGGGTGAGGGAACTAGCCGTTCCTAGTTTGATAACCACCTGAGTTTTCAAATTTGACTTTAAAAAAAATACCCCCATCAGATCAGCATCTGCGGGTGAAGACATTCAGATCGTTTAGATCTGAATGCTGTTTTTTTACATTTAAGGTTGTACTGACCTGTTCTATATATACATATATACATTTTGGGCATTTTGGGTAGTCGCCTCTTATTAAAACATGCTGGTATCTGATTTATTATGTTTATTAAACAGGGACGGGGCTGTGTCTAGGTTGGTTTAAAGTTGGTACAAACACCACCATCGCTCCGTCCTCTTCTCCTAACGTATGCAGAAGTTACACGGGAGCAGACTATGCAAAATCTCCGGTCTTATCTCGTGGCCGTCATTTTGATTTACTGGCGGCCTCGCTCTAAAACACTGCACATTCCGTTTGAGAACACGTCACCTCTATACTTTAGGCTACTACTGATACGCAATAAGGCTGTTGGTCTTGATTTTTTTCCCCCACTTCCTGAGTATGGTAATGTATTTTTATGAGCACACTAAATAAATCAAAGCTAATCCTCGCGCTATCCACTTACCATGGTTCATTCTGTCACTCTTGCTTCGGGGGTGCTTGCTCATGGTAACCGGTTCTGCTCTGCGGATCCTGCTCGCCTCACAGGAGTTTGTATGCTGGACGGGGAGGTGACGGACGTGGTGGAGGCCCACTCTCTGAGTCTCAACCCGCAGCACATCCACATTTACAGCGCCAGCTGGGGCCCGGAGGACGACGGCAAGTCGCTGGACGGCCCGGCCAAGCTGGCGAAGGAGGCGTTCCTCCAGGGAATCACCAAGGTTAGTCGCGGCATGAACTTGTACTTGTCACTGAGATAACCGCTGGCATCCAGGTTTCATCATCCGGCCTCCTGCGAAGGCAGCGTTGGGTGGCGAATCACGCTCCAGCCACAAGACTCTGATACGATCCAACGGCAACACATTCATTCAAATTAAATCCTCCCCACAAACTCATGGTCAGTTGTGATATTATGATATATATATGTATATCTCAGAAAAGGAAATCATAATCAAACAAGCTTTTTTTTAAAGTCTGCGTTCAAGTGGAATTGAGGTCTCTTTGTATCTTTGCAAGCTGTCAATAAATAATTTTATTGTTTTAAAAACACTCAGTCTCGAAGTGCAATTTCCTCAAATAAGCCAATTTACAATTAGCTATAGATGAGTGACGTTACAAGTACAATTTAAGTGCTACAATTTGTTAGTCTTTAGTCGAGGTAGAGTCTGAAGAGGTGTGTCTTTAGTTGGCGGTGGAAGATGTGAAGGCTTTCTGCGGTCCTGGTGTCTTCAGAGAGCTCGTTCCACCATTTCGAGCACCAATGTTTTGAACTGGATGCGGGCGGCCACCGGCATGGTGTGTAGCGCTGCGTGCAGGAACTTCATCAGTGAGCTCGTCGGTGGTCAGATAGATGTGATTAGTGACTTGTTTCCTGGTCTCTCTATACACCGTGTTACCTTTATCCAAAACATGGTCCAGGTCTGCTCTGGTGATGCTTTCATTCTCATGGAGGAATGCAAGAAAGGTCAGTGAGTTACAGGTGCACTGCCGATTCCTGGATCTCCCGTATATGATAGAAGCCTGGCTGTGGGATGCACGGACATGTTGTTCAGAAGGCTGATCTCCAGGGTCTACACGTTCTGCATTAGAAGGTCCTGCTGCACATGGTTCTTTACTGGGTTGTCCTCTCTTTACAGTATCTGATACCTGTGGTACACATGACTCATCACCTTGACCTCTAAGGTTTACCTGCTTGACATTAGAAGGTCCTGCTGTACATGGATCCTCACTGTGATGTCCATTCTTTACTACGTCTGCATATGATACCTGTGGTACACGTGACTCATCACTTTGACCTCCCTGTTTCACACCAGCATGAGACTCTGCAGACATCTTTACCTCTCCACTGCTCTCAGGACCAACACATTCTGCTCCTTCAGTAGTTGTTGCACAGGGATTGTTATTAGTCTTTTCCCAGCGCTGGCTCTGAGCTTGTGACCTCTTACTCTTTCTTGGCATTGTTGTGTTTCAAACCACAAATGCTATTGTTTTACTTTAATGTACACAACAAAGATCGTGAACACAAAATGAAAGGTAAAATAGTACTATTAATAAAGCGGGACGTAAAGATGGATGAAACCTGTTTGACTTTAGTAATCAAGGACTCTTAGGACTGATAAATTAGCTCACAAAGGAGTTGAGAGTTAACTTCTTTGGAATGATTACGATTTATATCCCAAGAGACTTCACAGATTCCAAGCAAATGTTTTCGTAGAAACTAAAGTTTAAATCTGATGCAAAACGGACAAACAATTATGCTACTTCCAATTGCAACTGGTTAATTCAAACTCTTAAGACAGTTAAATTTAAAGATGCCTCACCTTATAGGTACCTACTAAGGGTACAGAATGTATTACAACGTAACATTATTGAATACAGTACAGCCCCTTGTACCGTATTGCTTTAATATAAACTACATTTAATACATTTTAAACTGAATTGAATCATTCAAATATATAAATAAATACGTTAGAATTATAAATCAGTCAGCTGCATCAGTACAAATGTGAGGGGTGGGACCTTAGGACCTGGGAGCCTCAGCATAGAGCGGGAGGCTTAAACTCAAGGAGAGCCTCTCCATATAAAGGAGATCCCGTGAGAGTTGAGCAACTCAGGTTTGTTCTCGTTGTCCGGCATGTGCTGAAGTCTGGGTGCTTTGTTTGTTGCTCGCCAGTACCGTGCGGGTGAGCAAACCGTACTAAGGAGGTAGGTTGTGCCATTTTAATCTACATCTTGTAGGCCATGGGGAAATTAATATAATGTTCTTTTCTATGGTAGAAGGTTAGACCTGAACCAGACCAGGTGAGCCCAGGGTCCTACCTGCTGGTGCACAGGTGCATTGGGCCAAGAAGGTAGGAAGTTGGGCTTGCAAGCATATTATGCGTTTTGTAATAAGAAGGATGGTGGGTACTTGGTGATTAATGGCTGTTTTGTGCATTTCAGGCTGAACTGGTGACACGTAGTGGTCAGCAGGACAGCCACTGCTCTTTTTCTCCGACCATAGTTTTAGTTTAGATTGTGCTCAAGTGCCTCCATCTTGCTCCCTCTATTTATAGAGATAACACACTGATATTGTGCCCTTTTGATGACCGTTGCTTCCCCCTCCCCCACTTCTATTGTGTTGTGTCTTTTAACTAGGATCAGTAATCATATTTGAGTGTGTTGGTTTGTAGTGTTGCTTATTTTAGCCTTTCTTAACAGTGTGCAGTGTTTTTATTGTTGGAAGTGTCATTGTGCCCCCGGTCAATCACTACTGGTATAAATTATTTGGATGTGGTTTTATAAAGTTATTGTTTAAATAAAAGTGATATTGCATTGTACACGCAGAAGCCTCTGTCTGTCTATGATCTACCTCGTATGGGGTTTTGGCCAATAAGATAATTGAATTCAGGGTCTCTCCCCTCCAAAGAGAGTGGCGTTGTCACGTCTGGATACTATTCCCAAAGTATTTTAAGTGTCCATTAGGTCACATTTGGCGTTGCTGGCAGGACGGACGCAGAGGCTTTTTGTGTTTTTAATTGGAGGCACTGAGACTGTAGAGCAACAGGTTAGGGTTGGAGAGAAAGAGCAGTGGTCGTCCAGGAGGAGAGCCAGAGGACAGCCGCCGCCCTCCAGCTGCAGTACCATCCGTGTGCATACATTGTGGACATTTCTGGGGGTGTTATTCGCCTCTATCCTGGTTATTGACATTTTGGCCGTGAAAAAAAACCCACAGTAAAATGGCTGAATCTGATGAACAAATCAGAGCCTTGACTGAACTTGTTAAGCAGCTACAGGCAGAGAATAATAGGCTCAAAGACAGGGGTAACGAGTCACCGACTGCAGAGGCCCCTGGGTCATCTAGCCAGGTAGCTGCTAACGGGGTCAGCAATAATCCAGCACTCGAGCGGGTGTATGTTTATGCACCAAGAGTGAGAGAATGTCCACGCTTTTCAGGAGTTATTGTTCAGGATGGTTTGACTGTAGAGGACTGGGTGGAGGAGGCGAAAAAATCATTGCTAGTACGGCAAACCTCTCTAGCTGAACAGGCAACGTTCCTCTGTGATCTTTTAGATGGGGAAGCTAAAAGAGAAGTTAAATTTTGCTCTCCCACAGAACGAGCCAACCCAGACTTAATTTTTACTATATTGCTTGATAATTTTGGTTGTGATCAAACTTATGTGACTCTACAGAGACAGTTCTTTCAACGCAGACAACAGGACAATGAGTCTATCCGTGAATTTTCTCATGCTTTGTTACATTTGATGGAGCTGCTTAAATGCACCTTAAGATCCACGTGGTGTTTCACGCCCGGAATTGGTCATTCGTGACACTTTCATTGAAAATATACGTGATGCTAAATTACAGCGTGAATTGGCTCACCTGGTTCGGCAACACCCTAACCAGTCATTTACCGAGGTACGTAATGCAGCCATCAAATGGGAAAAGCAAGGGCTCACTATTGGTACCCAAAGAGCACGAGCCTATTCTTGTGACTCTCATGCCTTAGGAGTTGGTCAGGGTGATGTTGATACTAATGCCATTTCTGTTGGGCCCAGTGATGAGTTGGGGGAATTGAAGGAGTGTTTACGTAAGCAGCAGGTACAACTTACGCTATTCTTAGACACCTGGGCCCCTCTTCCTCTGTCCCTAACGATGTAAATCCCCAGGACTTCCCCAATGGCAATAGGCCGAAGCCATACAAGTTTCAGCCAGATGGTAAACCAATATGCATGCGGTGCAATAGAGCAGGTCATATTGCAAGGTTTTGTCGGGTTGACGTTGGAGGGCTCCCAGGGGGGGTGGGGTCAAGGGGACAGGGCCAAAGGGTGGGGGTAAGAGTGAATGTGGTTGAGCAGCAGGAAAACTAGCGCCCTCTGTTGCTGGGAACCCGGCATCGGGAGGGGGCTTTTTGGGTTCAAAACAGGCAAGTTTAGCATCCAAGCTAATTGGACGTTGCCCAGTGGTTGAGGTCAGCATAGGCGGGGTGGTGGTGCCGTCCTTGCTTGATACAGGTTCAATGGTAACTACCATAACACAGGCTTTCTTTGAACAACACCTTAAGCCCCACACTAATGAACAGCTGAAATCTTGTAACTGGCTCCACTTAACAGCAGCCAATGGATTGGACATCCCATACTTGGGATACGTGGAGCTGGATGTTGAGGTCCTGAGCACTGTCTCCCCACAAATGGGTATCCTAGTGGTAAAAGATCCCCCTGACTCAGTTTCCATTCGTCGGAAAGCTGCCGTGCCTGGCCTGCTGGGAATGAACATTATCAATGGCTGCTATTCTGTACTATTCAGGGAACTTGGTAACAACCTCTTTTCCTCTCCCTTAGTTCAACAAGCTGGGAAGGAATGGGTGCGGGCATTGTCAGAGTGCCAACAACTGGAACGCCTCCTACAGACTGGCCGTGTGGGGGAAGCGGTGGCACTGCCAGGTCCAGCAATCCGCATACCCGCAGGCTCTCTACAGTTCGTCCGGGCCACATGCAACCAGGGCCCCGGTCCGGCACTGGACAGTGTAATGCTGGAGCCCCTGCCCTATGGGAAAGGTTACCTCCCTGTAAACCTGCTGATTTCCAGTGCCCTCCTTGCTGTTTCCAGGGGAACTGTCAACATCCCCATTGTGAATGTGGGAAAGGAAGACCAGTGGCTGAAACCAAAAACCGTGCTGGGGTCACTACATCTGGCTGATCTACATTCCCCCTCCATGTCGGTACACGTGGAGGAGCAGTTT